TCATTAAGATATATGTTAAAATACTGAGCAATTCACTGTGTGGATTAATCAAACAAGTAGCATAAGGGCATTGAAATAATGATTGAAAAATTGGTTGATTATTTCGAACTTTTGTAAATCACTGCTGGCAGTATTGTCAACCGAATAGATAACTGAGGGAAACATCTTTGTACTGATCAAGGTTTTCAATATTATGAAGTCTTCATTGGTTGGAAAACAATTAGTTTTCTGACGCAGCATTGCTTCATCTAATTGAATAAAAGTTTTACACTGAATTCATTAATATAGAATTAATCCTGACCAATTCTGCGACACCGCGCTGTTTCTAGTTTGTTAAATTGATGTACACCTAGAGAAGAATCATAATAATGAAGATTTCAACGCTTTCTTTTCTTGATCAGGCAGAACTGATAAGCTGAGTTTCAAAAAATTCAGTCAGTGCACATTGAAACCTACGGAATTAGCGATGAAATTAGATAAATGCTTTTCATATTCAAGAGAAAGCTTTTTTTTGTGATCAAATGAGTTTATCAATAATTGGGCTTTGGTGTATATATTTTTTTCGTTTGATTCAGCATTACGCGAAAGAACGACAGGATAATTATCAGATAAACTAATGGAGAACAAGATTCGGCTTTATTGGAAAAGAAGGCCAGATCAAGGACATTACCTTATTTCTGAACAGAGGTGGACAATAAGTGTGACAACTTGTGTTCATTAATTAAAAACCTATTAAATGTTGATCATCTGAGCGTCTTGACATCTGAACAGCTTCCCAATTAACAGAAGGAATATTAAAGTTTCTCAACACGTGCCGATGATGTGAGGGTGGTTGAAAAAATCAGCCTGTAGTTTTGAAGCAAGATAAGGAATCTACTTCAGCAAATGACGGTGGAATAAAGTAACTGGAACCACGAGGTGGAAAGTTTAAGCAAATTATAACCAATAATTCGTTGCTAAAACCAATCAAACAGTAGAGTTCAAAATCAAACACTTCAGTGAAGTGTACTTCAATAAAGGCGACAAAGTTTTCACTGCCACCTAATAAAACGTTTCCATGCGTCCTATTAGGGCGATCATTTCGGCAAATAGTGGAATAATTATGCCCAAGAAGTAGAATAGAGATGATTCAGGGGGAGAAGCGTCCAGTCAGGTTTTAGATAAGCAGAAGTGACTGACATATACTTAAGCATCTCCGAAATGAAAGAAAGCATTGACAATTAAACATGCAACAGAATTCGAAAGAAAAATTCTGATCCATTCAATTTAATGGAGCATTAATAACCTTCCCATTTTTGATTTTGAAAAGTTGGCCCGGACGTTTTCCTTTGCCTTTTCGCTTTAATGCTCTGAGATTGAACTGCAATGCTTGCTCTGACGATCTAAATACAGGATTGATGAAAATTTCACTGAAAGCTTATGTTGTATCTAGTGCTTTTGCTTTGCACAGGAACGGGGACCGTAACAAGGAGGATTTGCATTTGAGGATCATTAATTGTTTTCCTGTGCGTTCGTCAAATTTACTGATTCATTTAGTCGTTTTTGAATTTTTGGTTTTTCAATGTCTGCTCCTCGATACTGCCAACTAGATTACGGTCGAGTCAGATTGCTTCGCCCCTCTCACAACTAAATTCATTTTCTTATTGCCAGGATTTTGCTGATCTTTTTGAACTTCGTTGAAAAGTGTGGCTCTAACATCATTCTCGTTCGTCAACGTTTTCACTAGCGCTTAAGCGTAGTTTTTTTGTCCCATAAGTTTTCCAGCCAAAAAAAAAACATGTTAACTTCCGTTCGATGGCATCGTTTGGTTTTGGTAGGGCATGAATCTGAGCAGCAAACTTGATTTTAACTTTGACAGTGTTCAGTCCCCCACTAGGAGTACGCTCTGCTCTCTTTCACCTTCTACACATCCTTCTATTTCGGATAGATTGGTTGCGGATACGTATGGCGATTTCACTTGTCACATATTTGCTGTTGTTAATTCTTGCTTCTACTTGATTTGTTGGCTCACTGTCTCGCGCGTGGAACAGCTTTTTATGTTTCCTGTGTAGATGTCTCCTTGACATTTCTTGATATATTTTTTTGCAGTATTCTCAGTTTTAAATATTCATTGGCATTTCTCGCATGAGAATGTTTTTTATGCTCTGATATTGTGTTCCATGGATCCTCTTTATATAAATCGGGATGCCGCCGGAGTTCAAGCAAACTTTCCGCAGTGAGGGCATTCTAGTGATTTTTTAAGTGGCATAACACATTCGTGTCATCGGGAGCTGTTGGGAGGACCTCTTTTTGGTTTCCTCTATTCTTTTACCATGCGTTCAAGTGTTGCCTCCACTTGTTCACCCTTTTGCGCCATGCTTCTCACTGTCCGAGCTTATAGTATCCAACTCGGTTGGGTCTAATCCCGTCTCTTTTACAAGTCGACGCCAGTATTGTGTGTTGTTCCTTATCTTTTTCCTCCCTCTGTCTTTCTGCTCTGACTGGAAGTTATCCGAGTATGGTTCTAGTTGCAGGGCTCTCCTCTTCCATACGCAGGATATGTCACATTCGTCGAAGGCTGCGTTTTGTACTTCCATTGAATAGGTTTTAATCCAATTGAACTCCTGGTGTCTTGCATGTTTTTTGCATCGTGATCGGCGATGGTTCTTTCCGAAAGTTCCATGCACACCGATATCGGTTGTCAGTCCACTGTAAGAATTGTTTCCACGATTGTCACTTTGAATAAGTCGTCCTCATCTCTATTGGTGTTATTTCGCAGTTAACATGCAATTAGAAATCGCATATGCCTCGCGCAACCCAAGTTTTCTCTCACACAGTGGGAGTACACCCGGGTTCGCCAGAAATGGTGACAGTCTTCGAAGAATAAAGCGTGGTTTTGTTTTAAAAAATGGCGGCCTATCCTTAATGTAAATAAGAAATAGAGTTCTTGGATCCCCCCATGTCTACCCAGTTATTGATATCTCGTTCGTCGAAACTTTACTTATGTATTTAATAAGTTAATCACAACAATCCAAGATGTTTCATTATATGTACATTCAAGATAAATAAAGATAAAGATATTTCATTCTATGTACATATTGTCTTTTTCCCGATACACTCAATGAATAAAATTTAATTGTGGTCAAATAATTTAGTTCTTAAGACTTGTTCGACATCTGCCTTAAGACTTTTTCGTCAAAAAAAGTTCGAAATCCGTGTCTATTCGATTTTGAGAAGCAAAGTTTTTTTTTCGTATCGAATTTTTTGAGCAGCTCAGTTTTGCCGCTGTGGTAAATTTAGATGGTGGCTTTTCCTTTGCGCCCGAATTTGGTAACAACATTTTGAGTTGAGAAACACAATTTTAACCGTAGAGAGAAACTGGCGTGGATCAAAAATCAGCTTTATCAAATCTTCATTTCTCCAAGATAGAGCTTTTTCTAGTGATACACTTAGTAATTGCGATCCACTCCTTGACTAAAAGTCAATTGGGATCAAATCATGTTCGGCGAGGATATTAAATATTTTAGAGCCCCGTAAAAGCAGTAAAAAACGTTTTTTGAAAATTTTTACACATCCTCCTTTTTCTGTTATGGTCATCAATTGAAAAAAATTAGATTTTTGAACTTTTTTTTTTTAAAAAACGGTAGTCGGAATTTTCTCTGCTTTTTTTACGGAATTGGCTATTCTTGGTTTTGATTAGTAATTTAACCTGGGATTTATTGCGGTGAACTACTTAAAAAAATTTAAGGAATATCAATTGCTGTAAGTAACTGAGAATGTTTTGATATGTCCTTAAAGAATGAATAGTCATCTACAAATAAATGGGGATCAAATTGTTCAGCACTGTGCAAAGTGATCGGTTCGTTTAGCCTGGAAATTGCATCAAATCTAGCTGACATCCTTTTCCCCAAAAAGTCAGGGATTTTAATTTCCTTCCTTTTTATATTTTTAGCCGATGACATGTTTTTCGTTTTTAAATTTATGGCTGAAATGCTTTTCAATGCATACTCGCTTATATTCACTAGCAAAAATAATATTCAAAAAGTGGCTCGCTTCGAGGTCTTAGTTTTTCTGTTTTTTTTATATTGGGCCATCCCTACTTAGGTTTGATTTGCCGGTGAATTTATTTCGGCCTCTGTAACTTGGTTATTCTATAATTAAGTTTGCTTTTAAGGGGGTGTGAAACTGTCATGGCGATATTTTCGAACTAGTTTCCTCTGTTCGCTGCTTTGATGCTTCGATTCACAGAGCGGTGACCTTATTTATCACGGAAACGCAAATCGTTTTATGGTAACAGAAGTTTGCAGCCAATAAATGTAGCAAATGTCGATTTGTCCAACACGTATTAACGAACGCAATGTGTGCTCTTTTTTGTTACAGTTACAAACATTTAGATAAAATAGAGAGAATTCTATCTGAATTTGGTATTAGTTAGTCTTGATGTTAGTTTAATCGAGTTTGTTATATATGCTAGTCCGCTCAGTATTTATTTTTACCGAAGAAGCTCCAAATTAGTTGCCATTAATTTGCAGTTGAATTTGACGCCGTCTGGTGTAACGTTTTGGTGGAGCTTTTCAATTTAGCGGAATTTAATTTCGATGTTCAGCTACAGAGCAAATTAATTACCTGTTTATTATAGAGCAGGAACGACTTGTTACTACGAAACATTCTTTGCTTCTAAAGCTATTCCAGCTTCTGTTTTTAAATTGGGGGATCTAGGATGTTCTCGATGCGGGTTTTCAAAACAATTTTTCAAAATTTCGGCTTGTTTTGGTGGACTAAATGGATTTTTCCGACCAAAGTTTGCCAAATTTTTCAGCTGGTTGACCAAAAATAGATGTCAAAAAATAGTACCAAGGAGGACCCCTTTGGGTGGTCAGGGGATCCTTTTCCTTTTTTGATCAAGTTTCCTTTTTTGATCAATTTAAGTTAACTGATTTACCATTTATTTATTCATATGATGCTTGATAAATAATATAGGTTGTGTTTAGGTCCACATTTTTTTTTCTGTATTTTAGATGGACATATGACTGAACTTTGAATTTGACTAGATAGGTATTTAAGTTTCAATTCTACGCTATGTTGGAAGGTCTGTTGAAATGGGCAGTGGACTACCTGCTCAAGGATTACGTCATCATAGACCCCAACTCGGCCAAGACGAATATTCTAGAAGGAAAGATTGAGTTCGAGAACTTGGAATTGAGACCGGATATTCTGGAGAAGCTGGGAGTGTCTGGCTATTCGTTGCGTGCTGGGCACATTGGAAAACTGCTGGTGCACATAAGTCCATTCAACTACTCTTCGCAGCCGGCTAATGTGTTGATCGATGGCATTTATCTACTCGTTGTTCCTTCACACGGCGAGTTAAAGCACCGTTTAAAATTACTTGTCTTTGTAAAGGGAACAAGAAAAGGCGGTCATGCATTTTAACTCCTCTGTTTTTCGCCCTTCTGTGCTTATTGTTGTGAAAAACATGCAGTTAATTTATATTCTCTCGTGTCTTAAAATTTAACAATAAGCGCGTTTTTTTATCCAAGGCCCCTTTAGAAAAAAAATTACGGTTAGTCATTCAAAAACGGATTTTGTAAAATGTATGAACGAGAGGTCAAGAGGTCGAAATTCGCTCTTGTGTTTTAGTGGTGAAGGTAGACAAGGCGACTAAGACGAAGCGTAGAGTGGAGGACAAGTTGAGAACCCTGGCCAAGATTGAAGAGATGCGCAGTCAGAAGTTACTTGCAGAAGATAAAGACCAAGAGGAACAGCAGAACAAGAAGGACGGATTCCTACTCAGACAGGTAGACATACACTGTTTTTCTTTCATCCAATAAACTATGACCTAAGGTCGATTTTTTATCATGCAACATGCATCTTGAGTGTACATTTTCTTAGGGGGGTGAGTGTGCTATCCTATTAAAGATATTTCTACACTTGCGATAGTAAGTGCATTGCAACGGGTTTCTTGAATTTTTTTCCGTAAATAACTTTTTTCAGTGGGCTCATTTCCTGGAAGCCTCTGTTAGCAACAAATTTGCCGCAACAGGCATATTTTGTGGCAAGTTAGCATTTCAAATATCTGTCCTATTTGAAATTTGCTTATCATGTTGGTTGTGATTTTACCAACGCGATTTGTTAACACTTGTGGATCTAGTGTATAATACGAACCTTATTTTTTTCCAACATAAGGCGCAAATATTGGTGCGGCACCCCCAATAATGTACATTTTCATTATTGTGCACGTCGTTTCAAACAACATAACAAAAATGAATGAAAACTCGATTTCAGAAATGTTCTAACTCAATATATCTCGCAAATTAATGAAATGCATAATTTATACTCAAGGTGGCTTTTTGCTTCGCAATTTGTTACATGCAAAGTTAGTATGGATGCCTTCAGTTTGTTGTATTCCAAATTTGTACCATTTATGCTAAATTGATTGGCAAGTTATTAGCATATATAGCTGCTTTATTCGTAACTAGTGTTTGTCGGTTGTTAAGCTTGCGTGGCTGAGTAGATAGTGCGTGAGACTCAAAATCTCTTGATTGCAGGTCGCAGATTCGAATCCTAGACGTAGCCGAGTTTTTGTTAATTCGAGGCTCATTTCTACTTTTTCTTTCTTCACTTGACAGAGCTGCTTTTTTGCCGTGTTCTTGCAAGTGTGCGAAGCGCAGCTTCGCCTCTGTGTAAAAATATTTTGTAGTTTTTGCATTTTTCCGGCTTATTAGGTTTTGGCCTATCCGCTACAGTGTTTTCGGCTTTGTTACTGCTTGTTAAGTGTTCTTCCGATGCTAATTTTTATTGTATTGTCTTGGCTTGTTTTTCTTTCAAAATTTTATTCATTTTGATGGATAATGTTTTTGAGCATTTTCAAGTTTTTTTCGCCAGCGTCTTTCTTGTTTTGTGTCGTAAGTTGTGTGAAGCTCGGCCTCAGTTTAAAATTTCACTTTTATTGTTTTGCGCGTTGGATGAATGTATTTTGAACATTCCGCGCTACTTGTTTAACAACCAGGTTCTTTGGTTTAAAATGACAATCAGTAAGTGTTATAAAATCGAGTACTAGACTTTTTTTCCTGTAAACAACTTGTTTAACTTTCACTTTTTCCTGGAACACGTCGATTCTTCCTTGGATTAATAATTTCTTTCAAGTGGATTATACTGCAAGCTGTAAGCGTTTGGAAATTATCGTATATTAGTTTGGTGTACTCCGAATAGAACAGATTGTTTTGTTAAATTAATATTTTGTTAAATTTAGGAATTTATTTAATTTCATTTTTTGTCTGGTTGTTATTAAACATCTTTTGTGGGCCTTTTAATGGTTCAGTTACTACAGTTACTATTCGGTCGTCGATTATAGCGCCCTCTGATGTGCTACGCCGAAATCTAAGATGTAATTGTTTTGTATACCAGGAATAATAAACATTGAAGGAACTAACGAAGAAAAAATTGGAAGTTCAATAATTACAAAAAGAATTTTTTTTTGCCCTAAGTTATTTGCTACTTATACAGCTACAGCGTAATCTTCGTTCTTGATCCGACCATTGAAAACGGGCAGGAACTTTGTATTCGGGTGTGTTTTACTTTTTGTTTTCCGCGCAAAATTAGGTACCACAAATAATCATTGGACTGGGTTGCATGATATATCATATCAAAGCCCTTTTAGTCGCAATTCGAACCACATCAAAAAATTTCAAACATTTTTCCCCGTGTCGAGAAAAACGGTTTGAAATTTTTGACTTTTCGTCTTATTTCAAGCGAATAAAGCGAGCGAGCGAGCGAGCAGTCTTATTTTAACTGCTTAAAAGTTTACAATAGCTTAACTTTAAACGTAAAAAGTTAGGTTTACTTGAATAACGTTGGCTTACTTTTTTTGGTTTTTATATTTTTTCAAGTAACAGTAACCGGCTATCCTTGTTCTCGTTCGGCTTGTTCCTAAAAAGTGTCACACTGCTCCATTACAGTAAAGAAGTATCAATGTCTTTTTTTGTTCTACTCTAAATTGGATGTTGACTATGTGGTGCAGGTGATGGCGATAGTGAGGAATCTGCAGATCACAGTGAACAACATCCACGTGAGACTGGAAGATGGGACCACTGACCCCAGCTGCAAAGTGTCCCTCGGAGTCACACTGGAGAGCCTCACTCTGCGCACATGCAATGGCAAATGGGAGGAGACTCTCGTCACTGAACAGACGTCGAACGCATTCTTCAAGGTGAATTAATTGACGAAAGCATGTTTTTTTTTGCCAAAGGAGGATCTACTTAACACAATGTCGTTTAAATATACCCAAGTGCAGACCATTTGGAAACATTTGTCAACTAACTTGAGAGGTCTGTATTGGAATTTGGAGATTAATTTGATTCACAATAAACATTTTTTTTCGCACTGCCATTGACATTAAAGATGTAATTGTTTAGGTGGCTAAATTGCGCAGTCTGTCTCTCTACTTCACGACTCACTCCAAACTCTATTCGGAACAGGCCGCAGTCGACAAAAACGCCATGAAGGTACATTACATAACATTCATTAACACAACTAAATAATATAGCACAAAAATCAATCAATAATATAGCACAAAAAAATCTGGCTAAATATTTGACAATATTTACTGGTAGTGATTTTTTTATAAATTTTTCCTCGTTTTTTGCTTTGCTTGGGTTAATTTGCGATTAACCTCATTTCTTAAGCATTGAAAAACATTTATGACACATTTTTGATCTAATTGGAGTATTCTTATTTCAGTTTCTGGTACGTACAAAACATGTTGGTACAATGCATCTTTCCTATTTGTTTCTATAATGTTTTATAGCAGGCACTCATTCCTTGCATGTGTCTTGTTGTCACAATCAATATGAATCGAATGTTTGGGGACTTTTATTTGGATTTATCTTAAATCTAGAAGACAAGGAAAAATTACATTTTTTTGCCAGCCTTGGTTTTCTAAATAGGGAAGTTGTTGCAATAGCTCAAAACGCGTGCCTCGAGGCCTGCAAACTTTTTCATGATTGCAATAATTTTTGTGTTTGGTAGATCGAAAACTACAAGCCTAACACAGCTTCGACCCAGTCTAGTACTACTTTACTCTAAATTTAGCGGATCAGGACCTCCATTAAAATGTTGGTTTTTTGAAGAAAAAAAATGAGCAAATTTACTTACCCTGGCACAAAGAAAGACTGAATATTCAACCCGGTTAGAGTAGATGAAAGATTTGTTCAGTGAGGCTCAGATTTAAGGCTGAAGAACGCGATTAGAGTTGTTAAAACCGGACCAACCTGAATGAAACAATTGTGATGATTACAATGCTACTTTGTAGGGCATCTTGAAGGCTACCATTGCAAAGGAAGGCGGTCGGCTGCCTCCCGCATATGAGTACCTGGTCAAACCACTCTCCTCAGACGCACGAGTATGGGTAGTGCCCAACCCCAGAAATTGCAATCCAGGTCAGCCTCAGCTGTTCATGGACATGGTGATCCATGACGTGGCCATAGCTGCAAGCAAGAAACAGGTCCACTCGGCCATAGCGCTAGTAGAATCTGCTGATCTGTTGCGGATGAAAAACAAGTACAAGAAATTCCGACCAAAAGATCTATCTTCTCCAAAAGCAAAGTAAGTTGAGTAATTGTGGTATTATGATTCTCGTAAAAAGTATAGTTCCTTAGAAGTTAATGTTCTGAAGTAAAAGGGTAGATTTAGACTGCCATTTTTCGGTCAAAACTTTGATAAATTTTTGATCAAAACGTTTTTAGCGTTAATAAGCGTTCCGAAAAAGTTAAAATATTTGTCTTTCCTAAATTATATACATAGCGTTTTAGATGGGATTTTGCTATCAAATGTGTGCTGGTGAAAACAGTTCGACCCAAGCTAGACGTGTGGAAATGGGAGAACATCAAGATGCACAGAGACACCTGCTTGCAGTATCAGGAAGTCATGCAGAAAGTGTACGGCAAGCCGAACTCCAAACTAACTGAACAAGAAGAGATCAAAAAGGCCATCGCTGAAGAGACTCTGGACGTGTTCGATCTAGATCTATGTCGCCGACTGGCACAGCAAGCTGTGAAGCTGACTAAAGACGCTCTTGCTCAAGAACAGAAGCGCAAGAAGCAGGAAAAGTCGAGCGGGGGTTGGTTCGGCTGGGGAAGCAGCTCAAAAAAGAGCAGTGCGAAGTCGGAAGAAATGATAACAACGGTAACAGAAGAGATAGAAAAGGGAATGAATGACGCGAAAAACAAAGCCGAATTGTACAAAGCTCTCGGTTACGATGACAATGAAGATAGCGGCATGATGAATTACAGTCTGCTCCCGAAAGAGTTCATCCAACTTGAAGTGGGAGTAAACCTGAAGAAGTTTTCGGTCACGCTCAATGAAGACATAGGGGGAGGGGTGATGCATAATGTGTCTAAATTCAGCATGACAAACCTGAAGACTTCTTTAATGAGACAACCTACTCCTGATTACTTGAAGGCGAAGTTTGACCTTGGCAGACTTGAAATAGACGGCAGCATCGACACCAAAGCGGACGTGAAGACTACGAAACCGCCTCAGCTCTTATCCATTGTGCAAGATAATTCTAAGAATTCGCTCATCACTATAGTGTTTGAGATGAGCCCACTTAGTAACACAGATGTAGATTTTGCAGTGAATGTGAGGTCGGAGTCCGTCCAGATGACTTATGATTTTGGCACTGTGCAGAACTTGGTAGACTTCTTCAAGGTATTATAGACCAAAAGACATTTCACATCCAATCAAAATCAAGGTCGCGCTTCTTTTTTCGATATCGCACAAGCGGCGATATCGAAATACCGATTCGTTCTACTAATCATTCGAAATTGAAATGAGGCAAGCAAATTAAACAATAACACCGTGCTAGATGGAAACTATAAAGCGTCAATGATTGTAATTGAAGACGCTAGCATAAGTCGTCATGATTTAACTTTTTTTCACGCTCAAAGTTGATATTTTTTGGTTTAACTGATTATTTATGTTAAAAAGACGGCAAACTCGAATAGAAAAAAGCGGAAGTTTTTTTCTAAGCTAACTCGCAAATAAAAGTTTTCATTGAAAGTAGAATTTATTCACTTATTTGTATTATAGGTCGAAAGTATTATAGGTCGCAGTATGTCGCAGATCGAATCCGATACGTAGCCGCATTTTTACTATTTCGAGGCTTATTTTTACTTTAATTTATTGCTTTTTATAGTGCTGCTTTTTGTCGTGTTCTCGCTAGTGTTGATAAAACGAGGCGTCGCCTCTGTGTTAAAGAGTACGCTTTGACATAATTTTTTTTATCACGTGATAGAAAGCGTTGCTCTGAGCTCGAAATTGAAATGAATTTTCATCTGCGATGTATTCTATGAATTTATGGGATTTTGAATGTTGCAAACTAAATTGAAAAAAAAAATGGTGGAAAAAATTGTTTTTTTTTTTGCCAAATCTAAAACATTGCTTTTTGTGGTGTAGATCTGGCAAAAACACAAAAGCATTCAAAATTTTCAGTGATGTGTTCTGATGTAAGCAGTTTTGTTTCTTATGAAGCCAATTTTTTCGAGTCAATGAGCGTAGCTGGCAACTTAGGGCTATCTCTATATTTTTAGGAAAATCTTGGAAATCAATTTGGCTCACCTAAAAAAGCTCAGGAGCGAATTTTTTTTGCGGTTTCATTTTTGATTTTATAAGAGTCGATGAACGTAGTTCAGATTTCTATATAGGTAGCGATGATTTTTTCCAGGCCCAAATTCATTTTTTGCGAATGAATTTTGATTTCTTTTTAAGTTCAGTTCATTTCCTGTGTTGAAAACGGCAAACTCCCTTATCGAACAGAAGACTGTGAAGGTCACTGAAAATTAGATCGAACTCTAGCTTCGAAGGTGGAATTTAATTTTCAGATATCCCAGCACCTATTGATCCATTTTTTTTTCAAATTTTGTCAATATTGTCAGAAAAAGTCTCAATCGTAAATTGTTCTTGAAGTTCGAAGAGATTTAGGGGCATATAATTTCTTCTTTAAATTTCAACAGAGTTAACAGAGTTAACAGAAAAAAAATAAAACTCTGTTAACTCATAGATTCCTATTTTCAATGCTTGCGATATGATTACTTGAGCGCAGAAGTCGATAGAACTGTTATTTATTTGAATGGCGAATGTGACCAAAGGGTGTGATCGCTAGTTAAATAATCGCAGAAACGCTAAGCACTCATCCATCTCGTATCGCTATCGCTAAATACATCTTAATTGTTCCTCTGATGGCAATCATTAAGTATATCATTGGAAAACTCTACTAGATTTGTCAAAAGTTTTGAAAGGGCCAATTGAGTTCGCAGTAAAAAAAAATGGTCGCTAACGCATGAACAATAACATCTGTTCTTACGTGTTGATATCCTGTCATGCCTTATGGTACTGGTATTTTGTGGTAGACTAAGCAGGAGGCGACGCTGGTTGTGGATGATGTGAAAGATGCAGCTAATAGACAGATGAAGAAGTTCAGCAACACCTCTACTGCTGGCGTCCTCTTCCTACTAGAGAAACACAAGGTCATCTTCCTCGACGTCAACCTCGAACCCTCATTCGCACTCATACCCGCAAAGGGTAAGAAATTCAAAGTTGATAGGCACTAAAGTTTACTAAAGTGGGGAATTCTCAACCCAAAGAACTTTTTTCAATTGCAAAATCAAGTTTGCGTGTAATCGGGAACTAGACTTTTTCCATTTAACAACTTTGCTTTGAATCTGTGAGAGACTGATCGTGTTATATTAATAAACTTATTAAATTGCTAGCTCACCTCCCGCTTGGTCTAGTGGCTTTGGATATCGGCTGAAAAAGTGAATTGTAGGCCATTCTTTGACGTATGATATCTTGTCAACTAATTTTTCAGGAAATAGACTTCGTTCGATTCAAGCAATTCTTTGTTACTAAAAGTCATTCTGTAATTTGTAAGTTATAAACTCTGATTTTGTAAAATTTCCTGTTATTTGTTTCGGCTTATATTGTATTGGCTTAGTAACCTTATAGTGCGTCGTTTAAGAGACCAAATTAGATTTTTATACATCGAAAGTGTTTCAAGAGGATAAAGTTTTCTTGAGTTTCAAGACTTTATTGCTCAAAATTTTTAACATCAATTTTTTTTCGTCGGTTTTTTCCAGGCCTTTACTTTGTTTGGTCGCTAAAAACGGGCCTTGGTCACCGAAGGTCACGTGGTTTGAGTCCCTGCGCCGTACCTGTTTTTTTTTCGATAAGTATAGAATTTGAAAATTTTTCTGGGAAACTAATTTTTGCGCAATCGCAAGTTTGAGTTTGTTTTTGTTGCTCAATTTTCTAACCATGGATTTCTCCTCTGATAAAAGAGTCTCCAACTGTGACTTTGTTTATTTCCTGTCATTTTGGCTGATGAACATTGGCTCAGACGCCGTATATTGCGTCGCTTGAAAGGCAAAAACATTTTTTTTCCAGCTTTTTAGCGGTAAATGAGCAAAACGAAGACACTTATTCATGCTTTTTCGTGAAAATTGGTAAAATTTGATCACGCTGAAATTTGATATTTGCGGTTTGGCTAATGATTTTTTTGACTCAATTCAAATTAATTTGTTCAAAAGAAAGCAATGACAAAAGTGCAAATGGCGAAAAAGATTTTTTAAATTTCAAAATTGGATTTTCATTTGGATGTTTCCCAGCAGAAAGAAATACCTTTTAATTCAGTTGTCTCAGAGTGGGTTAGATTATAAAGTATGAATCTTGAGAGAGTCGTGAAGTACAAAGAGTTTCAAAATATGTATTTTTTGCTTCAAAATTTTATTGATTTTTCTATATATTTTTTCGGGTTTGAATTTAAAGACGTTTTTCGAATTTCTGCTGGCTGTATGTAAGGAGGGTGGCTGTATTTTGTGCTTTGGCAGCCATTTTTTCGGCTTAACAGCCATCTATCCGAGTTTTGTTGGATTACTTACCGCTTTTTAACTGATTCTAGTCGCTGATTAACGCTTGTGATTTTGTTTGACATTTTTTGGCAATTGAACATCATTCGAAACAAAAATATGAAGTTTTTGTAGATGTAGTTTTTTTCGACTTTTTCAAAAATGGTTTTATTTACTATCCGCTATCTTGTAATCCTATGTTTGTGTTATATCGCAAGTGTGGCAAAGCTCCGCTTCACTTTTCTGTTATGTATTATTTTTCGGTGGAATCTCTCATACGCGAAGGAACGAATGCGCGAAAATAAAAATCAGCCAATCAGATTTCAGTAATCTAAAATTTGGAAAGAAAGTAAACATTTTTAGGGAATGATTATTGATATTGGCCGAATTATAATAACGGAAGAAGTATGCAAAATTTCCAAATTGTCACTAACGCCGCCGAATTGGAACAAATTTTATTTTACAAGAGTTTCCTTATGAAAGAAGCAAAATATTGCTTCTTTAATTGTATGGCAATTGCTTCTTTTTAAAATTTGATTTTAGGCTATTTTATTTTCGGTCATTCGCTAACGAGTTTTTTTGCGCATTCGGTCCTTCGCGCATGAGAATAGCCACCTTATTTTTTGACTTATATTTCAGGAAGAATGCAAATAATTTGGCTGAGTAATTACAAAATCCCGACTGCGAAGTAATTAAAAACTGTTCATATTTTAGGAAACGGTAATCATCTTCCCTAATCTTTGACTGTAGTCAAAAATCTGTTATGCTTTAGAAATCCACTTCTAGATTCGGTGGAAAATTCATTGTTCACTGTTCTTTGATGTTTTTTCATTCGGTGTTTCATAGAATAAAGCCTTTTTAAGTGTCAATGATTGGAGTCAGGAAAAAGTTCAGGTCAACTTTGATATTTTGCTAGTTGAGTTTTGATTTCTTTTTTAAGTTTTATTCCTTTCTTTTATTTAAGGGAGGGAAACTCCACTATCGAACAGCAAAAGTGTAAAGGTCACGAGAAAGGTGATCGACTTCCAGTTTAGAAAAAGGATTTTCTTTTTAGTTTTTCCAACGGATATAAAATCTACTTTTTGTCCCAGTTTTTTCTAATGGGTTAGTCTTATGAAAAAAGAGTCTAACATAAAATATTCTTGAAAGTTGGAAAGGTGATATTTTTCTGGTTGTCTAGTGTTCTTTGACATTTTTCGTACTTTATGTTGGCTATATTTTTGGGTGAAAGCGCAGTTGAACTTTTCAGGTCAAATCCAGTCGGATGCGCCAGTCGTTATTTTCAAGACAGGACAACTCAAAGTAGTCACTCAGAACACCAAGTCAGCCCTGAGGCAAGCTAAAGCCACAACAGCAAGCGCAGCGGCGGCTACAAATGAAAGGGAATTGGCCAGGACCACGACAATGGACGAGATCAAAGACAAGCCATACGATAGGTTTGGCTCTTAGTGTTTTGCGGTTTCATTATAACCAGGCTAGACTGGAATGAAACGCTGAGAAATTCATTAGCATTTGGTTTTGACATCATTATGAGTTTAAGCATATGCAACCTATTTTTACACTTGCGAGAGCAAATGTCTTGTAGTCGGAAACCTAGACTTTTTTCCCGTTAACAACTTTTTTTACACGAAAATAAAATTGCCTCATTATTGAACCTTATCAACTTTCAGGTTCCTTACCACTTGGCCTGGAGGTAAGGCGGTTGTTTTTGCACCTTAAGGTCTAGGGTTCGATTCCCGTATGTATATAATTCAAGTTTTGGCGGCTTAAATGCCACACTACACATTTCTTGTGCTGCTAGCAAGTATCATGATGGATACAAATCTTGATCATTGTAGTGTCAGGGGGACCTTCTAAAGTTTTTTTATAAAATCTTTTTTCGGATTAGCTGGTGTCTGCTCAAAAAACATTGGCTTTGTTTCGCTTTGCAAGTTTTCTTTCGTTGATTATTTGAAATTCAAAAATCTTGCTGGGCATATTTGCCTAGGATTCCTGTTTTTTTAATCAGGTATTCTGAAAATGTATGGGAATGGTTTTTTATTTTACTTTCGTGGTTTGACATTTGATTTCTTTTCAAGTTCAGATCATTTCCTTTGTTAAAATTAAGGCTAACTCCACTATCGCGCAGCAAAAATGTAGAGGCCAGGAAAAAGGTGATCGACTTCTAGTTTCGAGAACTGGAATTGGTTTTTCAGATTTCCCAGCGAAATAAAAAATTACCTATTGATCCAGTTTTCTCCTTTTTATCGAAAAAGTACCAGTCATAAATTGTTCTAGAAAAAAAGAGTTTTAAGGCGAAATATTTTTTCTTAAATCTTAGAATTCAAAAGTTGATGTTTTTCCAAAAAAATCAAGTCGGTATTTTTTTGTTTTATTGCGTTCATTGAATGTTTTCCAACTGTCTGTTGGCTGTTTTTTGAGTCGCTTTGAAAAATTCATTTACACTATTTTTTCCAGCTTTTCTCGATGAAAAAAACCGTCCTACTCTGTGTGCCTGCATAATCAGCTAGGCTCTTTTTACCTTACCCCACTGTCTACAGCTTCGAAAAAGTCGGTTTGGGGAAACATTTGACCCATAATAATGATTTTTTTTTCGTTTTCTCAAAAACTACTCTCCCAAATCTGCGATTTTGGGTTCAATGAATAGAACGGGTTGATGGAAGCTCCCTTGCATATGCGGCTCTAATCATTTCTATAGAAAAAGTTATGGCCCTCCAAAAAGTCAAATTTTAGATTTTTTTGAATTTTTTTACTCTTCTTGAAAACTACCTTACCAAAACTAAGATTTTAGATTAAATCGAGATAAGGGGTTGAGTGAAGCTTCCATGTAAAATCGACCACGCCCATTTTTTTTTATTACAAAAAAGTTATCTCCACCTCGGAAAAGTCATTTTTTTGGTTTTTTTAACCAATCTAGAAACTGCCCTCGAAAATTTTTTGTGTTCAAAAGAAAAAACAGGCAGTTTAAATCTTGTTGACTTTTGAAAATGTTTTGACTTTTCTCGAAAACTACACTGCCGATTCTCAGGTTTAGTGTTCTGTCGAGAAACCCGGTGTTGGTTATATTCTTTGCTTAAGCGACTACGACTTTTTTTATGCAGTAAAAAGTTATAGATTTCGGAAAAGGTATGGATTTGTTTTGAACTTATGACCGTTTTTTAGACACTTTTCGGCTTTCTTAGAAATTAGCGTATCAAATTTGAGATAAATAGTTAAATCGAAAGAACCAGTTGCGGTATATTTTCCCGCAGAAGCAGCGACTCCTTATTTTTTCACAAAATGTTATGTCTGTGAGAAGATTTCAGTTTCTCTTCTCACCTAGTTGAATGTTTTGGGCAAAGTCCAATTTTTGAAACTTTGAAATTACCTATTTCATCCCGCATCAGTATAAAAAACTCCAAAAATAACAACAGGCAGCTCCAGCTTAAGCTGGGCTCTCTATTTATCTTTTATCGAGACATTCGAAAATTTTAAATCACCTATTTTTCGTTTTCCGGCTCACGTTGTTTATGTTTGTGCTGTATCGCAAGTGTTGTGAAGCTCAGCTTTGCATAAGTGTAAGATCATGTATCCTTAATCTCTTACATTTTCGTAAGTAAGATTTGCTACTACCCTATTACAAAACAGGATAAAAACAAGGGCTTTTCTCATGCCGGAAGGACCGAATGAGCGAAAATTTAAACCAATCATTGTGCACTTAACCGTCCAAAACTGACTGATAATCACGCTACAACAACTCAATGCTTCTGAGTAATTAAGTTCGTACGGTTGCACCCGATTTGTCTGATCAAGTTTCGACCATTTTTTAAACATACATTCTTGCATGAAACTTCTTTTTTTCGCCGATTTGAGCATTGATGATTTAGTTTATTATGTCATTAGGTACAATTGTACGCTGAGCAATGTGCAGCTCTTCTACCTGGAGAAGAGCTACAACTGGAAGGAGATCGCCTTCAACCCAGACTCCTCCGAGTCACTTGTCAAGGTCAGTTCAGATCACAAGTTGGCATCATATTTGATTTTTATCGACATCAAGCGGTAATGATCTGAAATTAGTCGAGTAATCAAAAAGGTGAAGAATCCATTCCGGCACAAAGTAAAAGCCTATTTTTTAATAGTAATTTTTTTACCTTAGCTTATTTCACTTTCGAACATTTGTGCGCTTGAGATTATTAGAGTTACTTATGTCCCTATCTCGCTTGTTTGCCACTCCCTTAAAGTAAAATCACTCTCCGAAGCAAAGTTTTTTTGTTTGAATAAGTTCACGGTTCCCGATACTACCAACAACTTGACTTTTACTAAACTTTTAAACTTCCAATGACCCGACGACCGTAATTAAGCATTTTTAATTTTTGTTTGCAGTTGAGGGCAGTTTAATTTCAACTGAAATTTAAAACGCGCTTTTCTCAAATTGGGTTGATTTTAGACTCTTCTTGCTTGAAATTTTAAAAGAACTAATATGGTTCAATTTAATTTGCAAATATCGGGCCCATAAATTTACCCCAAAAACGATCATTTTTGGATTTGTTTAGTCAATCAAATTTTACTGCAAACCTATTTGTTCATTTACTGACAAAGCTATGTAACTGCAAACTTTTTATTTAGCCCAACAAAAAGGGTACAATCTCCAAAAGTGGGCGAAAAAGGTTTAAAAAGACGTTTTAATTAAAAAGGTTTCTTTTGAACCTTTTTACGCCCACTTTTGGATATCACACCCTTCTATACACAAGCTAAGCTTGTGTTATAGTATGAACTGTTTTTTTTTCAACCTAAGACGCAAATATTGTTGCGATAAAATGTGTTCATTTTGATCAATAACTAGCTATTAAGTACAGTCAATGCTAAGGATATTAACACAGACTATTATTGTTCCGAAAGGGAATATTTATGCTCGGGGTGGTTTTTTTTAGACAAATTTTGACTTTTTAACTAGCCATTTTTGAACGAATTTTTTATCATTCAAAAAGTATTGTTGCCCTGAGCTTAAATTTGGAAAGATATTTCACCTGTGATCTTTTTTTGTTAAGTTATGGGGGTTTAAAGATTGCCATTTTGGCCAATTTGGGACAATTTACTCGCGATATTTTTTGCGCTATTAACTCGTAAGCGGGGATTTAATCCGTCGTAGAAATCGTTTCAGAATGATTGAAGGAAGCTTATTTGCCATAATTGATTTTTTACTAGGAGCCAAATTTTTCACATTGTACTTAATATGGCGTGTGGGGGGATGATTTTCACAAACAATCTCAAATTTAAAAAAATTTCAATTTAATTTTATTACATTTAATTTTTTATGTAATTAGGCATGTTAGTTGGTAAATTTCTTTTTTTTGTTTGCAAATTGACTGGTACTGCTAATGCGTCATAATTGGCGTGCGTCACTCAAGAAATTTTGCAGACTCAAAGTTTTACTCATTCAATTTTTCCCAGTAGCGTTATCGGTCATATTTTTGCTTGTGTATGCGAAGTTCAACTTCGCCTCTGTGTAAATTTTGTTGGTCTACTTAAGAGGATTGCAGTGACATAGTTTTGTCAGTAAATGATTTAATAAGTTAAGAGTAAACTTTTATTGACTAAACAAATCCAAAACTGATCGTTTTTGGGGTAATTTTTTGGGCCCGATATTTGCAAAACTAATTGAACCATATTATTTTTGTTGAAATTTCAAGCAAGATTAGTCTTCATCAGTTTTTTGTCTAAAATCAATTTTTTTTTTCATTTTGTCAGGATAACTTAAATCAGTACTGTATATCCGACCTAAATAATACGGTCTTATCATTTTAACTACTCGAAAATTAATTTGAGAATGGAATAGTTTCTGTCCTAAGAATTTTTTTGAGTGCCAAGAGACGGCTAGCTATCATTGAAACAGTAATGTGGAAAACTATCTTCATTAAAAATCGAGCGTGGAATGAAAAGGGACTGTTTACTTATTCCGCCCAAATTTGTAAATACCAAAAAATGAAAACAAAAATAGTCGATTCTGATTGGTTGAAATTGATAGAGCAACGCGTTCAAAATAGCACGACGCCGTTTTGAGCAATTTTGGACGTAATAGTTAAAAAGAGTGTTTAGCCGATGGTGTTGACCCTGGAGCTGCAGAAGTGCATGGTGATGGATGACCCTGAGTTCCCCCTGATTAAAGTATCGGGTGCCTTAGAAGACCTGTCGGTCAGGATCTCGGACCTTAAGATGATTCATTTGATGGTGTTCTTGGACCAGATGAAGTTCCCCAAAACAGATGATGAAATGCCAGCCGCATCACAAAGTGTTCCGACTGGAGACGTTCAGAAGCCATCTGTGTCTGTTTACAAAGGAAAACAAAGCGATATGCACGGTCAGTTCAAAATATAATTCATGTGGAACGGATTGAGTGTTTCAGGCCCTGATGCGCCGAAAGGCGAAAGTCATCAAAAAATAGATTTGATTGGAGGCAGTTTTTTTGTTTTTCAGCTGTATTTTTTCTTCTGCTATCATTATCAATAGTTACTCAGACGAGCTTTCGAGCATAGTGTTATATGATCAGTCAACTTTAATTTTTCTTTCGAGTGACGCAAAATCGAGAACTTGAGTTTTCCCGTAAACAACTTTCCCTACTAATCTGTAAGAAATTCAACTTGCTTTATTGTTGAGCCGAAACAACTTCCAGGATTCTAAGAACATGGTCTAAAATAACGCGCGCGCCTTTGGACTTTAAGGTTTGGAGTTCGAATTCTGGCCTGACAGATCTGTTTTTTTTCTCTTATTTTTTACCGATTTTTCCCCTTGTATATTTGAATTTTTTTTCTAGAAAAAATTGAATAGTCGGATTTTTGTTTGACAGCTCGTTTTTTGTCCGTTTACTTGCCAAAGCATGTTTTCTTGTGACTTAAACATTTTCTACCAGAAGTGACAGTCATTTTTATGCGTTAATCTACCAACTCGGATTTTCAATAAATGTTTTTGATCAAATGCTTTCGGTTTTTGTTCTTTTGACCAAATTCCTGTTTTTTACATAGTCTTACTTATTGGCATTGTTTGAAGAGCACAGTTCGATTTTAGAATTTCAGGAGGGATGGATCTTAAGCTAAATCGTTCAAACAAAATTATGGCAACCTAGCTCAATGGTCTTATACTTAAATGTTTTCGGCTTTGTAGCCGCCTGTTGAGATATATGAACATGAATGTAGAGAAAATTTTATATAGGTTGATTGTTTTTCTTTTTTGCAGGAAAAAGTTAAACATTTGTTCACGCTCAAATTTGAGTTTTCGCGGTTTGACTAGATTTTTTTGCAGTTCAATTCATTTTTTTGTTAAAAGTGAGGCAAAATCAGCGGAAGTGTAAAGGTCACAAGCTGAACAGCGAAAGTGTAAGAAACGTGATCGACTTCTAATTGCGAAAATAGATTTTATTTACCTGATTTCCCAGCGGTATAAAAACTTAACCTAGCATTGCAGTTTTCTCTAATTGAGTTAACTTTATCACAAAAGTGCCAATCAAATATTGGTCGACAAATTCATCGAGTTTTAAGCCAACATTTTTTTTGAAGTTCGAATTTGAAGTTTTTTCCGCAAACAAGTCAGTATTGTTTTATTTCCTTGCATTTATGACTCTGTTGTCCAAGTGTCTGTTGGCGTTGTTCAATTGTCTGTTGGCTATGTTTAAATGAAAGCATGTAAACGCTGGCAGGTGTTTTGAGACTGTTCTGATAATAAATTTTTTCAAATACAAAAACCTCCATTTTATCTGCGTCGTTAAAATCTACTAGATTTCTGTCTGATTTTTTTTTCGATAGTATGCAATAAATTGCTTGTATTGTATCTCAAATGTTGCGAATGTCGGCTTCGCTTCTTTAATAACCTTAAGTCTCGCATTCTATCACATAATTTGGCCAAAGTTAATGCGGTGATTAAACAGCTTGATTTAGGTATAACCGCTTTGCTAAAATTTTAGATATCAAGACGCCCTTCATAATGGCTGAGGCAAATAAATATACCTCATAGAAAGCTACGAGCTTTCTATGAGGTATTCAGAACCCATTAAAAACACGAACCCTACGCCATAGCTCCTTCAAGTGACGCGATTGGAACAAAAACTTAAATTAAAGCATGCTAACTCAAGTCGAGTTAGCATGCCTTAATTTAAGTTTTTGTTCCAATCGCGCCACTTGAAGGAGCTATGGCGTAGGGTTAGTGTTTTTAATGGGTTCTGAATACCTCATAGAAAGCTCGTAGCGGGTAAAATGTGGCATCATGTGCAAGTTTTTTCATCATTGGCTCGAATTTCACAAAAATTAAAAATTTTCAAAAAATTGATTTCAGTTTCAAAAACAACTAGTCTGATTTTTCCCGCTTTTCAGACTGAATGGCTTTTTTCAAAAGAGACAAACGTTTTTGATTCAGAAAATCAAAATGATCAACCTAAGAATCAAGAAGAACCCCCCTCACCCTAGTAAATTAAATTAAATTAAAATTTCCAGCGGACATTATCAATGACATTTACAACAGCAATCCAATTTTACTATCAATAAGTTTTTGTCCGCCTAGGACCAACGCTAGGCACAAGGCGCTTACAATGTTGGCCCTAGATAAATAACTAATTACCCAAGTTAGCTCAAATTAATCATTTAACAACAAAAAAGATGGTAACAGTTTTAAATCTTTTGAATGTTTTATTCAACTAATGTATTTTTTTTACATCAAATCTTTTATGATTTAAGTCTTTATACTCTCGAACTATCACGGGATTTTCGAATGATGGGTTAAGAGACAGTATACTTTAAATATCTGTATCTACTGTTAATGTTAAGAATAATACTGCGCAAAAATGAAACAAAATCGGAATTTTTTGATACTGCCGATAATCTAAAGGCAATTGATTTCTGCGTCATTTAACAAAATCATAAAATCACTCATCAATTAACAAAATCTAAACACTCTGAAAAAAGTCTCAGATCCGTTCATGCAGCGAGACGATTAATTTCGGTCTGAGTTGGTTGGTCCTTGCCCCTATATAAGCTCCCCTGGACAACATCAAAAATCCTCCTTCTTCAAAGATTCAATCTTAATATCACTGCAAGTTAGTTTACTTGATTTAGACGTGTTGCAACATGTAGACAAGCTAGACAGTCTCCTGCCTCTTGGGGACTCATCTGGTGGCGGAAAAACTGACTTCGTGCCAGCCTCCAAACAACTCACATTGGTGAAACTCAAGTACACGATCCACAAGGTAACTGAATCTTTACTCGTCATACTTTCGTTATTACCCTTGCGATCAGTAAGGTCATTGCATCCAGGGGTCCAGGGGATCTACATAACAATTCCTTTTTTGATCTACTTTAGAGTCTCACCCCTTTGCATGTAATATTTTTAAGCTTTTTTACTTGTAAAATATACCGTTCAAAATTTTTGACTCAAAAAATTTGACTATTTTTCTTGAGCGTCTTTATTATAGCATTAATTATCGATCGCTAGGTTTTAATTTTTTGAGAGTCCATGAACGTAGTTCAGACTCTTATATAGATAGCGATGATTTTTCTTTTAGTTTTTTTTTTTCAGGCTTAAAGTCTTTTTTTTTCAGGCTAAAGATATCAGTCTTACAATTTGTTCAGGCTCAAGTTTACTGTTTCGCGGTGCTACTTTTAATTTTTTTCTAAGTTCAGTTAATTTCTTTTGCCATATGGAAGACAAATTCTACTATCGAACAGTAAAAATGTGATTGACCTCTTTTCGAAAGTGGAGTTTAATATGAAAACTTTACTTAAGGATCCAGTTTTCTCAAATTGGGTTAATTTAATCAAAAAAGTGCTTGTGATAAATTGTTCTTGAAATTCAAAGAGTTTCAAGGCCATATATTTTTTTAAATTTTGCAATTCCAAAGTTGAAATTTTTCAAAAATAAGCAAGTCAGTTTTCTTTTTCTGTTTAATTGCACTCATTGACTCTTTCCAACTGTCCGTTAGCTAGGTTCAAATCATGAAAATAATTATGATACGTGATTCTGATATATCCAAATGGAAGTCAAATGTCGATGTGTAGATAGAATGCTTTCCAGGCCTCTATCATCTTGTTAGAAGACCATACAAGTACTGGTGGGGACGTGCATCCTCTGTTACACATCGAGCTGAAGAGACTGTTTATTGGACTGATGAAGAAGAACTACGAGATCCCAATCGTTATCTCACTGCAGAGTGTGTCTATAGTCCACCTCCAAATCAAGTAACATTTCACAAATTAAGCCAAGAATGCGGTCGGGTTAAGAAATAGTATGGCTCAAACATAAGGCTGAAAATTGGGTTCAAACTCAATTGGGGTTAAAAAAAAGTAAAGCGTTTTATATTGATACTAGGGTTTTTGAGGTCTACGGAATGCCGATGAGAACGGACTATGCTGTGAAGTTAAATTGATAATACTTGTAATTTTAAAATGTTTTTAGGGTCTGGAAGGTTAAAAAAAATCTTCTTGCTTCTTTTCAGACATGGTAACGAGAACTTGAAATTCCTGGAGTCTAAACTTTCCGAGAAAAGAGGAGATGCAGCGAGTGGAGGTGATATTAAGGAGGACGCGGAGTCCCAAATGGTGGAAGTGAAAATTCGCATTGCAGAACGGAAGTCGCCAGTGTTCCACTCTGAATACGAGTCTGTGGAATTCCACGTGGAGGCCAAATTGCACTCGTTGGCAGTAAGACTGCACCAGGAGGCTATTCTGAGTGCACTTCAGTTTCAGAAGGGATTGATGGAAAGATTGTTTCCGGAAAAACAGCAGAATGATAAGGTCTTTGTTTAAATGCCATGTTTTGTTGTTAACGTTAATGAACGTAGCGAAGACTCTTTTATAGGTCTTGGTGATTTTTCAGGAAAACGTCTTAAATTGCTCTAATAACCACAGATATGCATTCATACGGATTACTGCATTTATGAATTCCTTTATGTATATCTGCTCTTTATGAGTTCAGTTGACATTCATCTGCTGGAAATTACTTAAAAAGCCTTCTCCGAATACGAAACCTGAAATGGCGCGAAAAAACGTGAACGACTCCTAGTTTCGAAGTTGGAATTCAATTTATAGATTTCCCAAGCAGAATAATAACTTTACCTATTGATCCAGTTTTTTCAAATAGGTTTAATTTTATCATAAAAGCACTTGTCATAAATTGTTTTTGAAATTCAGAGAGTTGTAAGGGCATATATATATATCGAATGTTAGAGTTTTTTTTTCAAAAAGCAAGTCAGATGTTTTTTTTTCTCTGTTTTCTTGTGTTGAATTTGAATTGAATTTAGAGACAGTATAAAGATCACATATGTGTACTTAAATACTGCATCAAGGTTACTGTACGGGCAGTACAGCCCAACTAGCAGTAACCTAAGGGAAACCTAGATAAATGAGTGAAAGCAAAACCGAGTTAAAATATGAAAGTACACGAAATTTACCCTATAAACATGTCAACAAGTAATCGATTGTCATTTAAGTACACTTTTTTTAATTTTACTTAAAAGTCTTTCTTCTGTTTGTCAGTAAACTCGTTAAGGTTAAGAGGCAATAGGTTATTTGACATTAGGAAATTATAGCATTTCACAATTTTGTACGAAACCGAATTTTGTGCTAACTTTGATTTTCTCAAAGGTAAGGGTATACAACCTAAACTATTCGACCGGGTACTACGACGCGTTTTTACATAATCAAGATTGTCTCGGAAAACAATTGGCTGATAAAATTTTCATGTACACTCTGAAGTTGGAATTTTGAAAAAATACTCCGACACATGATCATACTTTCGAAGGAAGAAAATGGTTCTTATGATTTTTTTCTGTGCCAAGAAAATTTTATCAATTTTAACACCATTAAATTTGGAAATTTTCGTGCAAACTTTTACAGTCTGCATATTAAAATTCATTTTTTTGTCAATTTCAATACCCAAATATTTGAAACTTTCTTTATTTTCCATGTTTTCACCAGCAATGGAAATTGAGGCATCAGGCATAGCTTTTCCAAAACCCATCAATTTACTCTTGTCTGTATTAATCGATAACTTGTTGACATTACACCAGTCATTTAGGCTCTGAGTATCTGTTCTGAATTCTTTCAAAAACATAATCAAGAATAATGAAACTATACTGCAAGATCATCCTCAGATGCAAAAATTTCGTTAAAAACGTGTGATACCAATGAATTTTAATCTCATTATATTTGTCTACTTGATAACCGTGTAGATGTTTACGAGGTGCAAAAAAGTGAAGTCTTGGTTTTGGATTTCAGGCAGGAGCCGATAATGTCAGTCATCAGTCATTGGATGTTCCTCAAGATCAGGACTCCAGCATGACGAGGCTGGAAGAAGACAGCAGAGGCCAAGAGATGAGCCGGTTGGACAAGCTTGACCAGTATAACCAGCTGCTTTCGAAGGAGAGGAAGACAAGGCTGGTGCAACTGCAGTTCTGGGCCCACTTGGGGGAGATTGACTTGGCCATATCTTCAGACAGTCTGGTCGACAGAGACATTGCCACGCTCAGACTAGAAGGTAGACACGCGATACTGGAAAAAGGATTCTCGATATATGCATTCTTCGCTGTTTTTTCTTGCAATAATGCATCAAAATAATTGGAAATAGTTGAAGTAGACAACATTCACTTTTTAGCGATGCTAACCGCAAGAAGTTTTTAGGGTATTATGAGGCACCGCTAGCGATAACTTTTAAACCTAATAATGATGTAAATGCATTGGAAACTCGGTTTCCTGGCCTTTATTTATTTTTTTGTAGGTCTGTCCTCTTTCGTGGAAGTTGTTCCCTCAGAGACCATCACTTTCAAGTCTTCCATGGAGAAAATCCATGTCATGGACACAATCGAAAACACAGTCTATCCATATGTAAGTAAATTTGTTCATGAAACGCCTTTCTTTTAGTGGCCATTTGCGAGAAAATTTTTGGCCGTTTTTAGATACTAGATGTGTCGACATTGAGTGTAACAATTATTACCCTTGCAATAAGCAAGGGTATAGCAATCGGGTACTAGACTTTTTTCCCGTAAACAACTTTGTCCACAAGATCTGCACATCTAGAGGATCTTCACTTCTAGAGGAAGACACCTAAGTAGTATCTTTTTCTAGAAGATACTTAAGTAGTAATTAGTTCAAATCCATTTCAGGTTTTTTCTTTTTTTAAAAGGTCTCAATTTTTTTTTTCGTGTTCGTGATTTTCGTCCTAGTTTCTGACGATTCTTTTTCCGTTTTGTAGACGACCTTTTGTCATCTGGTAAAGCTTCTACTAGTTTTTTTTTATAAAGAATTGGTTTTGTTCCAATTTAAACAGTTTTTACTTTAACTGGAACTTCACAAAGTTGTATGTTTATATCCAAACAGTTTCAGTTTATGTTGTATCGACTTATTCAACTTATTTTGCGTAATTTCGAGAGCAAAGTATATCCGTTTGGGATTATGTGTTTCAGTTCGGATGGGTCGTGAAAACTTTAAATTTTATTAGGTTTTTTATGACAACAGTTTTGTTCTGGGTTCAACAGGTTTTGACCCAAAGTTTGTCTCCTTTGTTGCCGCTAGGTAAATGATTTTCATTTTTAAGGCCTGTTTATGAACCTCATTAGATACAAATATGAAGTTTTGTAGTTGTAATTTTTTAGTTGATGTATCAGAAAATTTTTTTGACTTCTGTCTTTTTTCATTCCCTTTGTTGTAGCACAATATGTTTGTGTGCATCGCAAGTGTTGCGAAGCTCCGCTTCACCTCTGTGTAAACAAATTTTGTTTTATTGTTGTTCATTTAAAACATGTTTATCGTCGTTTTGTTGTCAGATCTTCAGAGTGAGTGGCAATGAAGTGTTCAGTTTGGATGTCATTTACTATTTTGGAGCCACGAGGGGTTCCGGTTATTTGGACATGGACAAGTTTGATCTAAAAGTACAGTTGAAAACAGGAACTCCAAGAGTAGTCTACGTACATAGATGGGTTCAGTCTCTTATCGATTTTGCAAACCATTTCCAAGAGGAGATGAAACGATTCGAAGAAGCAAGCTCAAATGCGCTTAAAAACACTGCTGACTTAGCTCAAACAGTTTACCAGAAAGCCTTCCGAATTAAGTTGGATCTGGAAATTTTGGCTCCCTCGGTTTTCATTCCGAAAAATTCACAGGCTGCAGAAGTCATTTATGCGAACCTGGGCCATATGAAGATCGAAAACAAGTTCAAAGCGGTCGCTGTAACAGGGGGCAACGCAATTTTAGATGGACTGACCTTGAAATTGAAAGACGTAAAGGTGTCACGGGCTCTGTTGGATGACAATGGAGGCATTAAGGCAGAATGTCATTTGTTGGATCCCTCTGTCATGGAGATTGATGTTGTGAGAAACTTGACTCCTCTATTGAAAACAGACCAATCGGGAATCGAGATAAATGGTAAAATTGTGCGACTAGAAGCCGGTTTGGGACAAGCTGATGTGCAAATGGTGTATGAGATACTTTTTGGTAACTTTGGCGAAGTCGTGAAAGCAAAGCCGGTGCCAAAGAAACGACCGACATCCAGCAGTTCCAGAGGGCGCAGGAGATCCAGACAGCTTAAAACCAGCAAACAGTCCTCAAGAGCTAGCAGTGTCCAAAGCAGAAGCGGGGAAAAGTCATCGAAGGTTTCAAACACGGGAGACGCGTCAAACGAAATTGAGCAGTCGGTATCGACTGAAAAATTGGTGACGTTCAAAGCGTCTTTTAGTATAGAATCAGTGTGTGCGCAGCTGTTCAGCGACAGGATAGAACTGGTGTCAGGGCTAGTGAAGAGAGATCCGAGGTCGAATCTTGCCAAGTTTGAACTGCTGACTATGAACGTGAGGATGAGGATGTACTCTGACGAAGATATGGAGTTCCATGCCAACATGATGGACTGCATTCTGGACGACTCGAGAAAGATCAGCACTGGTGCTATTGTCAGGTATATTTTGATTCTCATAAAACTTTCATAAGAGTGGATACGACTATTTTCATCTTCCGGCCACGAACGACTGGAAATGTGTCGATTAAAAAAGATTGTTTTGTATAAAATAGCATACGGGGTGTGGGTGCGAGGCGACATTTCGTAACAGGCGATAAATCGTAAGATTAGCTTAAGCGCTAATTACCAAAACGCAATGTACTACTCGTGCCGAATATACGCGAAGCGAAGCGAGGGTTTGTACTTGCCATTGCTTTGTTACGAACTGTCGCCTGTCGGGAATTGTCGACCAAACTGGGCAGGGATAAATTACCAAAAAAAATGAACAACAGATTGGAGCAGGTGTGGTTTCGTTGGATTTTTTTTATCGTTGTGTAGGTTCCAAGTCTTACAGCTAGTTACATTCTAGGATGATGGAGCGGAAGAAGAAAATTGACTCGTTATCAAACAGTGGAGATTATGCCACTGCTCGAATGGACTCAATACCTGAACAGACGAGAGAGGGAAGCTTAGCTGACCAATCAGCCAATTCCACTTACATGATTGCCATTGACTACGCCAAGGTACACAAACATTAATAAAATCGGCATTCTTTCATTCTTCAGCAATGTTCAAAATTGAAATGATAATTTCAGAATGTTCCAATCATTGTTCAGACCATTTGAAAAGAGGGCAAGAACTTTATATTTGGATGTGTTATAGCTTTTTTCTTTCTTTTTTTGTTCATGTAAAATCATGTACCCCAAATAATCATCCGGATGGCTCGAGTATTATATCAAATTAAAGCCCTTTCAGTAGTGATTCGAACGACACTTAAAAAATTTTGAAAAAATTCTCTCAGTGTTGGGAGAAACTAGTTTGAAATTTTTTGATTTTTTAAAGAGTAAAGCACGTAGTGAAGACTCTTAGGTCCTGCTGATTTTTTTTGTTTTTTTTTTTTCAGGAAAAGTGTTAAAAGTCTTTAATAACTACAGATGCGCATTCATACATATTGATGCATTTATGAATGCCTCTAGGTACATATGCACTTTTTGAGTTCAGTTGAAATTCATCTGCTGAAAGTGACGTAAATAGCACTCTCCAAATACGAACGTGGAAATGGCGCAAAAAAAGTGAACGAAATGGCGCGAATTTCTTACGAAACTGTTGCCGCCCAATTTAATATGACTGTCGAATCTGCCTAAGTTGTAGTTTTTCGTTCGGATCCTTTTAACACACCACGCAGTAAAAAAAGCCTAATTTGAAAAACCTTTTTTTTGTGTTTTTTATGACTATAGTCGGAACATTCTGTGCTATTTGCACAGAAACCTGCTATCCGTGTTATCTTTTTTTTGTATGAGAGTTTATTCCCAAAATAAAAGAAAAGCACTGAAAAAACAGGTTATTTGAAGTGAATGTTAACTGAATTTTCTGTTGAAGGAAGGCGACGAGGAGAAGATAGACATGTTGTTGAATGACATGTACCTGTGTGTGTGCACTGATTTCCTCCTCTCAGTGGGTGACTTCTTTCTGAAGAACAAACCAGTGATGAGTACTGAGGGTGATGATAAGTTGGAGCAGGTGGAGAAGGCCATAACTGCACCTCTGGAGACAATCCAAGAAGAAGACGATGACGGGAACGAGAATGGCCAACTGGAGGCCGGGTAAGTTTTAGTATTTTAAAGATTCGGTAGATTTTTGATGAGAATCGGATTATGACAATTTTTTTATGACAGTATGATCGAAAGAGGAATCGCTGTTCTTGGCCCAATTGAAATAAGGTCTGGGCTTAAGAAATCAATATCTTTTTTAAGAACAGCATGGTTGTAAATAACTTATTGTGACATCAAATGTCAGCTAAAACATAACTCGTTTTTCTCGAATAAAATTTTGATAGTTTTGATTGTGTTGAAACAGCATTTTGATCGAGGGCGCATTGATACTCGCCAAGGGTTTACCGTAAGTTCAGAACGAAACAAACAGGCCATCTTCAAGTTCTATCTTCCAGTATTCTGTTGTTAACTTCTCACCTGGTTTTCTCGGGTCAAAATTTTTTCCATGTAGTCGGAAGACTACGCAACTGATATTATTGGAAAAAGTGTCAAACTCCTATCATTTATAAAAAAACTTCCCTGTCCTTAAAACGTCTATAATTTAATTGCAAGGTAGCCAACTAGCAATATTTAGTGCTGTTGTGGCTGATGCAGTGAAGGAGCCGGAGAAAGAAGTGACACGGATCATTTCTGTCTCCTTCAGGAATCCGGAGATAGTGCTAGTGTCAGACACACGCAATGACTACTCCCCTTGCCTAATACTCACGGTGAGTTGAACATTCTCTGCTGTTTGTCTACGTCTCTTCTTCATAGAAAAGATGTAGAAACGTTGGATTGATTATTAAGAGTTGATGAATGTAGTGAAGACACTTATATAGGTCGCGATAATTTTTTTTGGTTTTTTTCAGGAAAGGTCTCAAAATTTGTTCACACTGAAATTGGATTTTTTTGCAGCTTGAAGTTTGCTTTCTTTTTAAGTTCATTTCATTTTGTTTGTTAAAAGGCAGAAAAACTCCACTATCGAACAGTGAAAGTTCAGAGAGCACGAAAACCGTGATCTACTTCTAATTTCGAAAATGGAATTTAGTTATCAGATTTTCCAGCGAAATTTTTACCTATTGATCCAGTTTTCCCAAAATGTGTAAATTTTATCAAAAAAGTTTCAGTCACAAATTTTGGAAATTAAAGGAGCTTTGAGGCCTTCTTTTTTATTAAGGAAATTTGAAAGTTTCATGTTTTCAAAAATCAAGTCATCATTTTTTTTTTCTGTTTAATTGCATTCATTGACTCTTTTCCAACTGTATGTTGGCTATGTTCATTGCTAAAGATAGAGAGTGGTGGCGAATATATATTTTTGTTCGAATTTCGAAAAATAAGTCAATTGTTTTTCTGTTTCATTGAGTTCAGCGGCACTTTTTTCAACTGTCTGTTGGCTATGATCAAATATTTCATTTTAGTGGAAAGTGCGTTCATCGATAGTGATGCGCGCCAAAGAGTTAAAGTTGACTGCCCTAGTGACAGACATAGAGCTCATCTGTTGTCCCTTCAAGAGTTCCCTTCGCAGGGGAAACACGAAGCAAGTAATTCCCAAATTCAACATGCAGGCATTCGCTAACCAATCGGAATCTTCGAAACAGCAGAATATGAATATAGACGTAGGCGAACTGGACATCAATATATCGCCAGCTGTGATCAAAATCATGCAGGCTGTGGCAATAATAATGTCGAAGCATCAGGCGCTGGATGAACAACGAGGTGTATACGGGGTTACTGATGCACTTTGGGCACCGAAAGAGGTTAAGAGTGACGACGTGGCCTTCCTGAAGGCTCCAGTCCATTCGCTGGCCAAGATAACTTCAGTGGATGCTCCTTCTAACTTAGACGATGACTCAGAATCCGTGAGTGTAATTTTTTCATTAAAGAAGACTTGATCAGGAATTTATAAAACTGAAACTTGTTTGCTTGTTGTTCCTAAAAATGAGTAAAAACTGATCGAGAACGAGACCTCTTTTGAATTCCGGAGCCGATAGAAACCGGAGTAAAAATTAACGATTTTTTGCAAAAAGAGAGACTAGAAACTTGGCGTTGCGTTGACGGACAGCTAATTTTTGATGGATCTTCCTGGTTCTTAAAAATATTATATTTTCCGTTTGCCTTCATTTAAGGCGTTTTTGACGGTACCTCGAGTGACAATAAAGTTGGACATCAGTGACAGCACAGGAATCACCCAACCCATCCTCCTCATGGAGTCATCTCTGTCTGTGCGAATCAACAACTACATCTCCACTGACAGACTTAGCATAGTGGCTGAGACAACTCTAGGAGTGGAGTACTTCAATGGCCTGGTTAATGCGTGGGAACCCGTAGTGGAACCAAACAGATTCGTTACTGACAGAGGTAAAATTATTCTTATCAGGCAGCGATTATTGAGCAAAATGTACTAGTGAATCGGAAGTTGCAGAAAAAAATTCCGTTGCTAATAGTATTTGCTTATGTGTGTTTGCTAATATGTGTTTCTTTAAGTTTATACAGCTCGTGTTTAAATTTTTTTAAAAAGTCTAAAAATTTGCCCAAGCAAATTTTGTAAGTGTATAAAAACGATGTAATTCTTTTTTTAAAAAGGCCGTGATTAAGAGTAAAAGAACAAAGTGATCATTGGCTATAAAAGTCTTGATGATTTTATAACTTTTTATGGAAAAAGTCTTGAAATGCTCTACTAACTACATATGAGCATCATACTTATTAATGCATTTATGAATGCACTAGGTGCATATGCACTTTTTGAATTCAATTCAAGTTCCTTTGCTAAACGGTAGGTAAATTGTGCTCTCCAATTGCGGAAACGGCGCGAAAATTATGTTCTGTGTCTAGTTTCGAAAAGTTTCGAGCGTAGAGGCAGGGAAGGAGAGCCGTACGAGGGTTCCAACTTGGGCAGGGTCGGATGTTTTTAGTGAACTTTTTCGTATACTAGCTAAAATGCGTCCGCTCTTTAAATTGAGACATGTCAGTTGGTAATTTTTTTTAATTGACTGGTACTGCTATTTCGTCATAACTGGCTGGCGTCACTTAGCAATTGTGTTGACTCATGATTGATGCATGTCACTTAAGAAATTTTGTAGACTCAATTTTTTCCTTGAGTTTTTCCCAGTAGCGTTATTGGTCATATTTTTGCTTGTTTATGCGAAGTGCAACTTCGCCTCTGTGTTTTTATTTTGCCGGGAAAAACTTAAAACGCTCGAGTATGAGATTATCGCCGGTTTCATTTTTGATTTCTTCTTAAGTTCAGTTCATTTCCTTTGTTTGGAGAAAGTCAAACTCTAAATGGTTAAGATCACGAAAAACGTGAATGACTTCTAGTTTCCAAAACCGATTTTATCTTTCTGAGTTCACCGCGGGATAAGAGAGAATACGTATTGATATCATTTTCTTCACTTCTGATAATCTTACGAAAATTATCTTGAGAATCGATGAGTAACAACCCGATCAAATTTCTTCGAAAGGTGAAAAATATTTCAAAAAGCGGAAATAATTTGTTCGGTTTTGAGTTGTTTCACACTGTTTGCCGTACCAATCAGCTTAGTGTATTTATTACACAATCAGAGCTTGTGTGATAGTATGAGCTCTCTTTTTTTCCAACCTAAGTCGCAAATATTAGTGTTCGTTTTGAAAGTGTTCATTTTGATCAATAACCAGCTATCAAGTGCAGCCAGTGCTAAGGAAACTAACACAGACTATTATAGCACTTTAGCTTCAAGTTATCATGGAACTGTAGCGTAGAGGTAGGGAAGGAGATCCGCTACAAAAATAGTGTTCGAACCTGGGCAGTGTCGGATGTTTTTAATGAACTTTTCGTAGTCTTGATAAAATGCGTCCGCACCACAAATTGAGGCATGTTAGTTGATAAATCTTTTTTTTAAACTGACTGGTACTGCTGATGCGTCATAATTGGCTTGCGTCACTTAGCAATTGTGTACACTCATAATTGGCACACTTCACTTAAGAAATTGGTGGACTCTAAGTCTTACTTATTCAGTTTTCCCAGTAGCTTTATCGGTCATGTTTTTGCTTGTATGCGAAATGCAACTTCGCCTATGTGTACAAATCTTTTTTTCTACCCTAACTCCTTTTTTTTACCCTAACTCGCAAATAAAAGTGTACATTAAAGGTGTCCACTAATTTGGAAATTTTACTGTAGCATTGGAAATTGCCTAGTATCTGTACTCTGCTTTATTTGTGGCTAGTGTTTGCTGCATTTTAAGCATCAGTGGCTGAGACTCTTAAATACTAGGTTGCAAGTTCAAATTTCTCTCATACGTAGCCGATTTTTTTTTATTTATTCGGGGCTTATTTAGAATTTTTCTTAATGCACTTTATAGAGCTGCTTTTTGTCGTGTTTTTGCTAGTGTTTGCGAAGCCCAGCTTCGCCGCTGTGATCAACCATCATTTGGCCATGGCTGTTATAGCGGTATAGCTTTTCATTTAATTTTAAGTGATATACAAATTTGATTACTGAGGTAAAGATAAGTTGTCTCCGATAACGAATTCAAAAGATGATGCTTGATTTTTAGCTTCAAAGATGGATTTTAGTGTTTATAATTCCCAGCAAAAAAGAACAAGACTGCTATTGCATGTGTATCAGGGTGACGCCTTGAATGTTCCGACTGCGCTTTCACGTATATTGAGTTGAGTTGTGTTGTCTTTTTTTGAAAAATATCGCCTCTCGCATGCATCAAATCAATTTGACCTCTTACGAGCTTTCGCTGAGGTAGTCGAAATTGGCTGGAAAATAATTTTAGAAACGGAACCTTTGAGAGTGGTTGGAACAACAATCAGTCGTTTTAAGTTCCCTTGGGGGGTCTTTAACGCATTTCTAACAGTTGATTTTTTCTATGTAATATTTGATAGGCCAAACAAAGAGTGAGCTGTGGTGCATGAAGACGGAAATCAAACACAATGTGGGAGAGTCCACTCCAGACTCTTTAGGAGCTGAAGGCAACTCGGCTCAATGGTGTGTCAACATATCCGCCCAAAAGTCTCTTCAAATGACTGCGACATCCAAGTTCTTGCAAACCATGGAACAGGTTCGTCGCTTTTGAAATGTTTAGTTTGCAAGGAAGTGTCTGTAGATTGACCTCAGCCTCTCAATCCAGAGGTAATAGCATCGAAACCCACTTTTATTCGTGCTCTAGAAATATAATTAACGAAAAGGTTGAAAAGAGCTTATACCCTCAAAAGATTTTGTGAGTTTGATATCAGCAAAAGTTGTTTTCTCTAGGTCCAAGAAGCTTTCGCAAGCTCTTTCTCTCTAGTTTACAATGACGACCAAACGTGTGATTTAATTGGGGACATGGCGCCATACGCGATTGTGAACGAGTCTGGTCGGGAGTTGAGTGTTCTCGTGCCTCGAGACTTTTCGGTGATTGGATACGACGTGGATCAGGGTCCGGATGATACCAGTCTTGTCCATATGGGACCACTGGATCGAATAGAACTGGCGCCGAATTCGAACATGAGCGCGGATAAGTTCAAACGTCTGTCAACTCAGGGAAAGTTTATCAGAGGCAATTCAATGGCGAGCTGTAAACCTGATGCAGGTAAACGATTTTCAAAAATAAGTCATATTAGCAATTATTCGCTACACGTTTTGTGCTCTATTGTAGTTAAGTCAGTGATGATAAATCATAGAGATGATATATCTTAGCTCTAATCTTATGAGATTATTGTATCGTATCCTCAAATAAGTCGGTCTTTTCAGACAAATTTTTCGTTACTGAAAATTGTATTACTTAAAATAAAGTTAAAATAGTGTGATAGTTTGAATGATCTTCACTTTTGCCTCAATTGAAGATGCGGAGGAGGATGAGAATCTGAAGGTGCGGTTCCACATCATAGTGCCTGGATCCCAGACTATCAACGACGTCTCCCTGACCAAGCCAGGGTTCCACTTCTACAACATCCTTCCTGTTACAGACTACAGGTACGATTCAATTGTTTTGGCTATTTTTAAAGTTTTCTGTTTTAAAACAACAGCTGTTTCGGATGAAATATACGATAAATTTCATTTGATAGCATTTGCGTGGTTTATATTACGCGTGATGGGGGAGTTGCATATAATTTCTTTGAATAATTAGAATTTCAATTGGCACTGAAAAAAAAGAAGAATATTGATTTGGTCGTGTTAATTTTCCAAGTGTCTAAGTAATTTTTTTTTTAGAAAAAATTGATCAAGCTCATAGTTTTGCGATTTGATTTAACCTATCTTTTTCACATGTACAAAATCGAGCGTAGTGTATTACTAGGACTCTACTTTTTTCGCCAACGCTACTCGCAAATAAAAAGAGCTCATTTGGTGGTCTTTTTTGCTATAATCACGATATGCAGCATTGAAATTTCTATAGCATCTATTCTCTGATTTAAATGACTAGTGATTGTCAATCGTGAAACGTCTGTGGCACAGATAGAAGGACTTCATACTCCTAATCTACTGGTCGGAGGTTCAACGCCTTACTTAGCCCTAGTTTAATTTATATTTGGCTTTTTTTTTGCTGCATAGCATTGGCAGGTTATTACCATCCATAGCTGAATCATTGATGGCTAGTATTTGGTATCTTTCATCGGCCCGTCGCGTAGATGCGAGAACTTGAGACTCCAAATCTCGAGGTCGCAGGTTCCAATTCGGTACATGGTTAAAAAAAGTTAACTAATTCGAGGCTAATTTTTTTCCCGCTTTATAGAATAACTTTTTGCCGTTTTTACGCTAGTTTTGAATAAATGCGTACTAGATGCGCGTGACACGTATCTCACCGTGTTTTAGCTAATTTACCATGGTTAAGCATCACAGCATATGTTTATATGTATAAGCTATATCGTATATACCAATGCTTAAGTGGAATACGCGGGCAGCGCAAAGTATGGTAAGGTAAGGGTGGCATCAAGCCATCCATCAATGCAGCCAACTTTTCGTCCATTCACTCAGCCATCGATCCGCATCCATCCAGCCATTCATTGCACACGCGGTCTTTAGTGTGCGTAGTGTAACAGTACGACAATTCTTTACTTTCCAACCCAAGTCGCAAATTTTGGTGCCCCTTATAGGGCACTTATACAGCTTTTTGGTAGCATGTGCTTTGATATTCAATTGCTAAAAAGCCAGTTCAATTGATGCATTTTCAAATGATCAATTGAACCGAAAAAACATGTCTTTTTTCCAGCAACATAACAGAAATTTTCCAGCTCAATTTTTCTCGCATTTTCTCGAAAGGCATAATTTATCGATAATATGGCTTGATGCTTTTGAATTTATTAGATGTAAAGTTAGTGTATCTGCCTTCAGTTTGTCATGTTTCATTTTTTCTACTTGCAAATTTGTGTCTGTTTAAATCTCGTCCGACTGCTGCATAGCTATTGTAGTTTATTAGAAAATTTAGCTGCGTTTTTGGTAGCTAGTGTTAGTAAGTTTTTCATATGCCTCTGGCGCAGATACCAGGACAGACAAATACTATCTCCTGGTCGTAACTTCGAATCCGCAACCGCAAAAATTTTCATTTACAAGACTTGTCCTCACTTTTTTCAATTTCATTTTTACAGCTAGTTTTTTTTCATATTCTTTCTTTAGTTAACGAAGCACTGCTTCGCCTGTGTACACATCAAGCGATCCATCCATCTTACCAGCCACCCATTCTACCAACTACTCATCTTTTTATCTAGCGCTGCTTTCAGCCAGACAACCGACCATCCAACCGACTTGTAATCCGCCCATGTAGATAGCCATCCATCCATCAAAGCAGCTATCTATCTAAACATCCATTCAGTCATGCATCCAGCCATCAATTTCAACACACCCAGTCATCCATCCATCACGGCATTCGTTAACTTAATTCATGAAACCAACCATTTCATCCATTCAAGGAATCATCCAACAGGCCAGCAATCCATCCAACCATTCATCCAACCCATAGATAGCCTATCTTTAGATAGATAGCCTAATTGTTGTGATAAACGTATTAAATAGCACTAGCTGCTATTTGATAAGTTCATTTCAGAGCGCACTGTTCGGCGATTCGGATACTTAAGTGGATAGCCCTATGCTAAGGGATTTTAGAGATCCGATTGATGGTACACAGCATTTGAACCAGAAGAACAAAAGATATATTCACTTCATTTACGTGACAATGTTGGTTATTAACTCTATCATTCTCTGCTTTATTGCCGATACTTCTTATTGATTTATTTTAAAGAGCTAAAGTAGAGACAACTGATTTGATTGTCATGGTGGACGGCGATAGTGGACGTGGGCGGTTACCGTCTACCAAGGACTATTATCCTGCGATTGACGAGCTGCTTGATTGTAATCCTCAAGAATTGAATAAGTTTCTCGCCCTTGTCAATAAAAGCAATCTCACTTGTTTATTACGCGAAGCCTTGTCCAGGGTGAAGTTCACTACCTTAATTGTCGATTCGATATCTGCGGTAGAAAAATCTATCAAGTCTGTGCCAGTCACCCCTGCTGTCCAAACCGTCATATCCAACCCCTCTACCTCTCCACAGTCTAAAACCCTCCATTAAGTAGATGAAATCAGAACTCAAGGCATACCTGAGAGCTCATCTCAAATCACAGCGAAACGATTCGAAGATGATTCGAAACTAGTCACCGATGATCTGGAATTTATTGAAAAGGATGCTTCAGGTTGTATTCAAGACATTTATAGGGCGGGCAAAGTGAAACCCAATTCAGGAAAGTCCCGAAGTATCAATGTAAAATTGAATGCAGCGTGGTCTGCTCGCAAGTTATTGAGCGAAGGAGCCTACATGCTGAAAGACTATTCATCTGCCGTATTCCTTAGTAAGTCCCTCTGGCTAAGACCCTCTGGTAAGTCCCTCTGGCTAAGAACAAAAACTGGCTAAGAACTTGAAAGAACCCTTCTTGAAAAACGATTTGAACTTATCGAATCTGGGCATGACAAACGTCTCATTAAAATTAGAGATTTAAAACTTTATTTGGATGGCCAAGAGGTTCCAATAAATTCCAATGAAGACTGACTATATTCTGAATTATTTATAGTGTTCTTGAATTGCCTAAGTTTGGTTTCATTAAATAGACGACTACAAGTTGTTAACTTGTTAAATTCGTGGAACTGTGGTATCTTCTGTGCCTCCGAAACGTGGCTAAATGACTCTACCGAATCAAACCACGTTTTTCCTCTCTCTGATTATTTTGTTATTGCTCGATCTGATAGAACAAATGGCGAACACGGGGGTGCTCTGATAGCCATGAAATCTACCTTAAACTCACATTTTGATATCATACCGGTTCATTGCAATTCTAATGTTGGATGCGCTGCTATACTTTCGAGTTCTTCATATGTTTTAAGGCATTGCTACAGTATATAACCCTCCTGCATCTTCCAGGTTCAGGCTACTCTGTTCAGAAGTTCAATATTTCCTATCCTTAGTATATTCTGCTTACCGGACGGAATGTTCGAAACTTGGTTGTTTAAATAATTATTTCTTACTTGGCGGTGATTTTAGCCCACCGGATATTGATTGGCGTACTAGCTTTAGTTCTTCCAACTATGACATGAATTTGATTTCAATCTTCCAGGATTCCAATCTGCAGCAACTGATTCATGAACCAACTCATAATAGTGGGAATATACTTGACATTCTTCTAACTGACCGTGTTCTAGAAATTTTCTTTGACTATGCACTTTCTGATCACCGTGCCGTTGGGGTTACATTTTCAATGCATACAAACGCTGAGTTATTTCCACCGTCTTATTCCAGAAGTTCTTTTAATTTCGTTACTTTTAATAGTTTCCTAGATGCGTGCTACGATGCATTAAGATATCCTCATTTACGTGAAATGTTCTCAACTCTGTTAATACCTACAATATCAGGTGCAGTGGCCGCATCTGCACAGCTGAAACGGAAAAAACGACAACAACTACCTTTTTACTACAGTTCATCTACCGTTCACCTTATGAATAAACTAACTTCAAAGACACGACAATTCCCGGCTTGCGATCATAGTTCTCTGGCACTTGAGCTTGACCGAAACTTAGATAAATTATGTTATCTCAACTCAATTGCAAATTTGAATGTTATTAACTGTTTCAAAATTCTCAAGAGCATTTCCAACAAGTGTACCTTTCCTGGCACCTTACATTGGGGGTCATTTAAAGCTCGCACCATTTTAGAAAAATCCAATTTATTTAATCGCTTTTTCGCTTCAGTCTTCAAACCCTCCTGTTCGGTCGATGTGTTACAGCTCTATACTTATTCGTCAATTTCGTTAAATTCCATTAATATCTCTTTCGATAAAATTCTCAACTTCTTACGCTCTGCTGATGATTCATCCTCAGTTTGCTGTGATAATGTACCACCTGCATTTCTCAGGTACTGCTCTAATCAACTGTGTCCCTTGGTTATTGCGCTTTACGAGGATTTTTTGAAGCACAAAGTCTGGCCTGATGCTTGAAAAACTGCGTATGTTTCGCCTCTTCATAAGAAAGAAAGTTACAGTGATGTTACCAATTATCGGCCAATCAGCTGATTACCGAAATTATCACTAGGTCTAGAACGAGTTTTATTCGATCATGTTTATGTGAAAGTCCGGTACAAAGTTTCGCCATCAAAATATGGGTTCTTGTCTCGGCGTTCAACTGTAACTCAACTTTTGAGTTTTTATGATAAAATTTTTGAAGGTCATGATCAGGATCTTTTTACTACCGTGTCTTATGCTGACATTAAGAAAGCTTTCGATTCAGTGCGACATGACAGGCTGCTTTATAAACTTGCGTCATATGGCCTTGATCATGATTTCCTAGAACTTCTACATAGTTATTTATCCAATCGCTACCAGCGTGTGCGCATAGATGGCACGCTAATTGAAATGGCCTCAGTGACAAGTGGGGTGCCCCAAGGTAGCATTTTAAGGCCTTTATCATTCTTACTGTTTGTAAACGATATTCCCTCAAC